GTTTTCCCTGTATTCCCCTGTATTTTCCCACTTATTTTCAATAAGCAGTAACCATTTTATGTGCTGCTGATGCACTCTGGGCTACTTTCAGTTTTGCAAGAATGCTCTGAAAAATGTTCAACTCATAGGTCATTGACGGAATTTTCACATTGTCCAATTGGAAGTTGAAATACCAACAGCCTATCGCCCCCTCTAAGGCCCTCAGCCTGTAGCTTGTGAATCGTAATACAAATCTGTTAGTGTGCTGTACAACAAAATCACTATTAGGCTAAGGACAGGTGTTTCAGTGGTTGCCTCGCAACAACAAAAATGTAACACAATGCTCTTTTCTAAAAAGCATAGGCTTAAACAAAGGCAGCTGTCTGATAGGAGCCTCTGTAAGACATGTAATTTATTGATATCTTCAGGATAGGCTGGGATAACCTATTTAGAAATACTATCAAATTGCAGTTTATATAGTGGATTTGCAAAAAAAAGTATTACATATTATATGGTTTTGAATGTGAATACACATTTTAAGAACAATAGAAAATAGAAAAGAAAGTAAGAGTTAACAGATCAGAGCTGTGTGTGGAACTGAAGAGGTTGTTTACCGTACCTAACAGGGGTGAGTGGTTGGATGTTTGGGAGAGCGGGAGGAAGGTCTGACTGTTCTCCAGAAGACTCAAGATGGCCTCCTCATCAACCACAGCCTCCTCGGGGATTTTAACACTGCTTCTCACTGAGTCTGAAGAAGGGAAGCAGAAATGAACACTTTCAATGCATCAGAAAACCCTTGATTGAAAAAAAAGATAGGAGCCCTCTAGTTTAGAACAAGGTTAATTTGTGGGTCTGTTGTCCCTGGCAGTTTCTATGCTCCTGCTGTAGACTTGGCAAAGAGAGTGCCTGCAGATTAGTCCGTTGCTAATCAAACAGCATCACACTTTCAACCACTGACACAGTAGGAATGATGGGGAGAAGGAAAACAAATGTCTGTCTCACCAACTACCTCTTCTGTCAAACACAGGACACCCACAGATAGTAACAAGAGACAGAATAAAACTGTACTTCAATGGTAAATCCAACTGAGTTAAAATTTAACTGAACAGTGAATACTTGAGACAGCAGTCTACACCAGAGCTAACACATTCCTTCTCATACAAATATTGAGGCAATTGGGGGTGGTCTCATTCATCCAAGAAGTATGTTTTCCTTACCTGACTGAGAGTCCCTGTGCACCTCCACAGCGTTAGCAGGGGTACACGGAAGTCCCTCTGGAGTCAGGTCATCTGAATGGAGAGTGAGGTCACCGAGAAAATCCTCTTGTTCCTCCTCCTTGTCACCCATGGATGAAGCTTGTGTCCTGAGCAGAGATAGAAATTGCACACAGAATAATTCAGAACACAGATTTAAAATTTCTACATGATGAATAGTTACTGCTGCTGTAACATATTTTATAGTTCATTGTCGCCTAAAAATATCGACAACAGAGAGAATGCTAGTTATGGCAACTGTAACTTTGATAAGATGTAACATCTTAGAGGCCTTGGAGTAACTGAACTAAGACAAAACAGATTAAAGTTCTCTACTGTAGCTAGTGGGACATTTAACTTATGATAGATGCATATCAAACATTTCCTTCATTTCCAAAATCCTTGGAAGAGTTGCCATCCAGTTGTGTGATTATTGTGATGGATTCTAAATCCTGAATGGAAATCTTAAATCACTTTTCATGGACTTGTCCCTATACTTGTCCTGCTGGATCTTTTGTGCTGCATTTGACACCATAGATCATTAGATTTTGTTACAGAGACTAAAACAACATGTAGGAATTAAAGTAACAGCACTAATTTGGTCATACAAATCATACTCAGACTGATTCAATCAATCAATCAAATTTCATTTCTATAGCCCATATTCAAAAACCATAAGGAGAAACATTCTCTGACCAGATTCTTTAGCTTGGCCCATAGCTCTACTGTGAGCAACCTTGGAGTTATGTTCAACGTGTTACATGTTACACTACAAAGCTTCTGTAGTAGGCCGCTATCCAGTCCCTGTCAAGGCATGATCATGCATCAATTAGAGAAAAATGTCATCAATCAGACGGCTTTGAGCCTCTCTTCTGACCAACCTGTTGTTGCTAAAGGTTCAGAAAGAAACATGAATGAGATTTTAAACTACAATGGGAAAAGTGTAAAACCCAGGACTTAAGCATGTTCAAAAGAAGCATACAGATCAGCCCCAACCCCCTAACCACATCTGCAGAAGAATGATGGACTAATTCTCCCATATTAATTGAAAATGAGCACTGCACTATCAGTCAGTAGAGCTTTTGGGCTGCACTTACCTAACTCACAGAGCAGAGGACCTTCTGGTATCTGCCCAAATGCAGTCATGTTTTATTAGCATCTATTTACTGTGGGTCTTAATCAGGGGAAGTGATCAGTTTACTCTGTGTGTACGAGACCACAGAGGTGTGCATGTGGGTGGCTGTGTGTTTGTGTGAGCATATAAGTGCAGCTAAGTGGTATGTGTGTTGTAGAGGCAATATGAATGGAAAATGGGCAGGAAGCCAACTAAGCTTTGTATCCCTCGAGATCGCTCTCAGCTACAAGCTGGCTATCATGCTCCTTTACCCATACTGCCCTCCTCTGCATCGCCTAGCAACTCACCACTTAGTAACTGTCTGAAATATTGAAATGTAGACCAGGTAGGCAGTCGCCTTCATAAGTGGAACAAATTTCACAGGATGGTCAAAAAAAGAAAAAACGGATTCATTTGTAAAGAGGAATTCCGACTCCAAACCCTGTTTGGGCAGGTAGAGCCTGAAGAGTAGAGCCTCATGCCCAAAAGGTTGTAGGTCCAAATCCCACAATGGGCAGGAGAAATTAAAAATGAAATGCCCTAAAGCTACTGAATCAACCAATGGTGCTCCTGATGGTAAGCATGCACTGTATAACTTTGCAGGATTAATTTAAGCTTAGAATCACATTGTGATGAAACAGAGTGAAAACAGTAAAGGCGGCAGGTGAAGCTGCGTGTCATGATGCCTGAGCCCAGCAGCAGCCAGTGTTGGTCCAGTGAGAGACACAGCAATGGTCAGAGATAAGCCAAGAACAGATCAAATACCACACAGCATTTACAACAAAGTCACAGCCACATGGTCATCTTCACTTGCTTTAAATGATGAATGAGCCATACAATGCTTGCGCTACATGAGAAATCCCAACCTGGAAGCAAGGCTGATAAATACTGAATGATTTTTTAGAAGGGATGGGTGATGGAAAAATGGCTGTAAATATATGAAATCAATGTTTTAGAGTTTACATCAGCAGAGACTTTACTGCAGTCTCATTGTCATTCAGATACTTTGTTCTGCAGGGAAGGGCTCCAGAGAGTCAATGTGCATGTGCCACTGTCTGGCTGTCTCTTAATTAGTCAGCTAGCTAACGACTTTAGAGGCGACAAGGGAGGGAGCCTGGCGGGCGTCGGGAGATTACGGCTGCGATTAACACATTTCGTGAACAAGCCCCACGCACCTCCCTCATTGGCTTCAGTGGATCTGCTTTGCTAAGAGAGTTTGAATGATAGAGCTGAGCAAAGAGAAACAGAGAGAAGACAAGAAGAAAAGAAAGAAAAAGACAACCCCTACTGTATATTGTTATAATTTTCCTTTCCTTAACAAGCATCTGCACGATCCCTGTTGATTATAATGTATTTCATAGCCTTTTACCCTAACAAACACAACTTAATGCAGAACCCCTACCCTGAAAAAAACGTTTTAACCTAAAAAGCAGTCTCTGGCCATGGGGACCTCAATTCCAATTCAGGCAGAGGTCTATTATAACTAAATTAAATGATTTGCTGGCAATCGACCTGCCTGCGCACACCCTGCCTGTGCTCTTGGTGCTTATGACTAGGGTCTTCACAAGCTACAGAAGCCGAGTTGATAGCCGGAAATTAGCAAGCGAGTCATGGAAAAGTCTTCTTCTAGCAGTTGTTAGGCAGTGCGCTTTCATAAGATTTGGGGGACGTAGCTTTGACGAGAGGGCCGATGGGAGAGGGTGGGATGTATCACAGAATTCAAAGTGCAGCCTGCTATTGCTAGTTTTTCCAGGATTACCAACCATAGCATTACATTTGCTGCAGGATGAAGCCTTGACAGTCAAACTAATTTGCAATAGAAAATGTTTTGATAGTTTTGTAACAATGAGAAAAGAAAGACATTTCAACCTGCTGCACCAAGTAAGACCTGGAGAAAGCAGCAACAGCAGATCAGCAGTGGTGAATAATAAGAGAAAGAGGAGAGCCAACAAGTGACAGACTGTGAGTATTCACAGAGAGAGTGACTGAGACGGCCAGGCCTTGGGAGTGCCGCCAGCAAATTGTGTGTGCACTTGAGACAAGCCCCACTCTAACATGGAAACCCCACACTGCTCTCCCACCCTACACCCCCATTCCTATTTGATATCACAGTGAATGGAAGCCATCTGGATCGGATGCAGATGCATGCACGGCCAACTGTACTTTTATTTATAACAGGAAATAGTTTCTGCCTGAACACTGTGGGAGTAGGAGGGAGAGCTGAGTAACCTCATCAACATCATTTCACTCTCTCCTTCCCCCTTTCTCTGCAATACGCCTGTTCTGCTCCCACCCCCTCAACACATCTGTTTTGACTCATTTTCTCCATCCCCTCCTTTCCAAGTCTTCCAACCTGTGTTTTCATTCCCTCCCTCTCTGCCCTCAGAGGACACAGAGGTTGGACAAGCATGCTTACATGAGCTGAGATGCACAGGGAAACGGAGGACTACAGCCGCTTCATTATAGCTCAACACAAAGAATGAAATATGACAGAAACTTGAGATCACTGTGGTCTGACACTGTGGGAAACTAGTCCCACTATTGTGACTGGAAGCATCTTGTATTTATTTTCAAACACTGTTTCTCTCTCTACCATGAATTCCAGCTCTTTGCCAGCTACTCTGGCTTTACTCAGGGAAATGGGATAATTGTCCAGCAATGACTTTCAGTAAGAATTGGTTAAGAAATGTCTGAGGAGCCTCTTGCCGTCACCGCAACAACAGATCAGAGGAAAGATGAGTAACTTACACGTCAAACTCGTTCTCTTTCAGGATCTCCTTTAACCTCTTCATGAAGATTTTCTCGCTCTCTGTTGGAGTGACGGAGCCACGATCTGGAACACATCAGACAAAAAATTCATCATTCCTGGAAACTATCTGTTCTTAGATTCCAGTTTTTCTTGACCTCAAGTTTTTAGCTACAATTAAAACTTTTGGTCAGTAATTGCTGTTAAGTACGCTGGTGGTGGCTCTGGGTAATTCTGCTGTCAGTGAAACTAGAGCTCATCATCACGATAATAAACTGGGACTGGATGTAATTCGACGTTTTCGGATAAAACAACAAGTTCTTTCCACATATTTCTGGTATGAACTATAGGCTGTGTATGACATAGACATCATCATCACCTCGCTACACTTTTCATACCTGGGAACCCTGCGACTCAAAGGCTTGTAAATGTGAAGGCAAACACATTTCATCACAATACAGCATATGAGCCTGTGATTATTTATCTATTTGTGTGTGTGTGTGTGTGTGTGTGTGTGTGTGTGTGTGTGTGTGTGTGTGTGTGTGCCTGTGTTTGGTGATCAGAGCTCTGATGGAACACAATTGTTTTTTGTGGTTAGAAGTTGGACGACCACTCCCACAGACAGCTTTCAGAGTGATGATGCTCTGACTTGTGTAAGTAATGGAAAATGTTGTCTTCCACTGGAAAAGGGCTCAACAGCAAAACTGAGACAGATGTCATCATAAAAAGCAGAAAGGCTGGTGCCACGGTAATGAAACAGCTCAGTTTTGCTCGGCTACAGTTCTGGAGCCTCATTTACAACAGTTGCGCACGCACAAATGGGTTCTGAAAGATGCGTACGCCACTTCTCACACAAACGATCTATACAAATAATTTTTTGAGAATGTGCGCACTTCCGCGCACTTCTAACCCATGCCTTCAAACATTTTGGGGACTGGACAATTATGATGCAGATGTGAGGAGGTGGACTGAAGCAGATTATTGATTCACTTCATAATTAACATTAAAATCTACGCACGACAAAACTGTTCCATAAGAACCTTCAATTGAAAAAGATAATAACTTACAGCAAATTACACTCAGATACCATTAAACAGCTGAGTCTTTTTAATAATATTTTCTACATCATGATTATTTCAAAGCATCTCGCTCCTAAGCAAGCCTCGGTTTAGCCAGATTGTATATAACATGAAGCATAAAGACACTTTCTCTCTCACTCTCTTTCACTGTGGTTACTTAGTAAAAAACAGAGAGCAGAGTGCTCTCCAATGAACTGCTAAATGCTATTAAGCGCTTACACTGGTGACCTTTTCTAGTATGGAGAGGTAGAGAGAAAGAGGTCACTGGCTCAAAACTTCTGAACGTTCCGGAAATTTATATCAATGGAAAATTTACCAAAATCTAAAAAATATGCTGACTCGCATAATCATTACTGGCAATACCTCTGTCGTTACGATTGTCATTACTGATCCCCCATTTTCTTTGTATAACTACTTTAACATTGATTCACCTCTGCATTTACGCTAGACACTGTCTTTTCTCATGAATGGTGTAAGTGTTGTTATTTTGTTGACAAGCTCTGATACACGCAGCATCTATTGGACTTCTGTCCATTTGGACAGGGATCCCTCATTTCAGACAGTGGTATGACCAGGGTCAACTCGATGCACCAGTGGTAACATAATTGATGAAGATGATGGCAAAAATTCCACAAATGAATTGAAGATGCTAGCACTTTTAGGACTAATGATAATGAGGTTTCCTGCACATCTGTATTCATGACAGGTCACTATTGGGGCAGCTGTGGCTGATGGGTAGAGCGGTCATCTTCCAGTTCAATCCCCAGTCTTCCCATCTGCATGGCGAAGTGTCCCTGGGCAAGATGCTGAACCCCAAATTGCCCCATAGAACAAAAAAGTGCTGCTAATAGATGCACTGTATGAATGTGTGTGTGAATGGCAAACTGTACTGTAAAGCGCTTTGAGTGATCAGGAAGACTAGAAAAGCTCTATATAAGTACAAACCATTTACTATTAGTGTGAGAAAAAGGATAGATATGTGAAGTTATAACAAAACAGATGTTTCATTGTGGATCTCCTCACCTTGTGACTCGGGGGTTTCTATCTGCGTGGACTGGTTCTTCTCTCTCCTCCTCAGCCTCTCATCCTCCCAGATGGCCTGAAGGCCAGGGTTCCTGCCAATCTGATCTGGGGAGAGATAAGACACAACACAGTGTGTCAGCAAATGATACCACAATATTCCATGACTGTCTTTTTATGGAATTTTTAAATCTCACATCAGAACATTAAAATTATTTTGTATAAACTTCATCGGTGCAGTTTTAATATACTATTAAAGAGCAGAATAAATCACATGCACTGCCTGTCCAGGAGTTGCCTTCGCTTTCTTTCTTCACCCTAAGGCGGACATTTAAAGTGGTTTGCCACTCTGTTTCCAGCCTGATCTTCAGTGTGCCTTTACCAGCACAGCCTGTCTGTGATTTGATGGGATAAAAAGGCAAAGAATCCGACACCAGTGACTCCAATTGTGTATTCAAATTTGCCATTTAGTTTAAGAGCAATTGGTCTCATTCACCAACCATTCTTCAGAAGAAATCTTTTCTTAAAACCCACATATGCAGTTTTTTACAGATGTTTTCTTATCTGGGATTTGTACACTGAAGAGCATTCTTGACAACTGAACTGCTTCTGTATAATAATCAGTTATTGTGTTTTTTACTTTAATTCTACTGTTGTATAAGATTTAAATTACCATAACATTGTATTACCATAAGTTTCAGTGCAAATTATATTGTTTTAAATCCATGGACATGTTGATGAAGAGAACACAGACACAGAATATTTTGTCTATACTGCAAAAATAACATATTAAATGTGTCACATCATATCTTTTTATATTCTATTTTTATTTTTTTGCTGGTGTAATATTTTTAGCATTGCTAGAAGGGAGCCTGTGAATCAAGCATTTCATTGCCAGCGACTGCTAAATGTAATTGTTGTGCACATGGCAATAAAGTCTTGAATCTTGAACATGTTCTATAGTTTTACTGCTACAGCTTTTATTTAAATTGTTACCGCCAAGTGTGGCCATTTAATTCTGAAAACCAAGTTTATTTCTGTTCTGAGACAAAAGAGAAGAAAAGAGATTGCTCAGGAGATGCAACCACACCACACGGTGCACACTGCACCCAGGTCTGCGGATTAAAAGCTCCATGTGTGCACACCGCACACCTGAACCCGATGATTCAAAACATTTGATCTGAACCTGGCCCAACAAGATGCTCAGCTGGGAGTCCACCTGCAGTGCTGTGTTTCCAAAGATGTGCTACTCCAGCTGCTCCGCTGCTCACACTAAGGGACATTGACAGGGAGTCTACCTATGCTAATTGGGGAAAACTGACATAAACTTTCAACTTAGGTAGCATGGCATTAATCAATATAAGAACACAGATGCTAACAATTCTGCAAGTGTCATGAATCTGAAGTAGAGTTTTCTTAGAAAGCTTCCTAAGAACAAATTTAGGAAAATTCTTAAGAACATATTGGTGAATGAGCCCCATTGATCAGTTTGACTGTTCCTGTGGGCAATGATATTTTTAACACCTAAAACCACAAAAAGGCAAATCTTTGGCATCCCAGTTTTTGGCTGAAAGGATCAATACATATCTTTAATTAAAATCCACGGTTAGTTTAGCTTTGTTATCAACATGTTGCGAAACCTTTTCTGGTTCTACTCCAAGTGGGGTTTTTTCAATGATCAAAAATAAATGTAAATTACAACAAAGAGCCCAAAGACACATTCATTAAATCCTGAGATTTAACGACACCCTGTGTCTGTGCTAATCTCCCTCTCTCCACTGCCCCATGACAGGTTGTTAGGTCAGCTTCACAGCCTTCATGTTTAAGCCTGCTAATGGGTTGGATGTGTGGAGACAGTCAGAGGAAGCTGCTCTGAGCAGTAATGGCCCATCAGCACTCTGAACCAAACGTGTTGCACCTTAAGCACAAATGATAAAGCAGAAGACCTTTCACCTTTCCTTATCTCCTGTGTCTCATTCCTGCAACTGTGTTAGTGTGGGCTACAGTACTGACGATGACGAGTGGAGGAGGTGCAGCAGGTGAGTGTGTGGACCTGACACAACTTACTTTCGATTTCCAGGCGGTTGAGGATGTCTACAGCTACAGCATCAACCTCCAGCTCACAAGTGCTCTGCTTCTCCACCTCTTCCAGGACTAATGAGCTGTAGGCAGGGAATTCATGGACAAATGACTTCAAATTAAATCCTTCAAGCTTTTTTTTTTTTTGATTTTGCAGTTCTATTCCAGCTGGGGCTCTTGCATGTCACTCACATGGTTCCCGTCTGTCACTGCAGACTGTCAAATAAAGGCATATAATGCCCCCCAAAACTTTAAAAATTATATAAACATGTCTATATAAAGAAGACAAATATAATGCATCATGGATGTAGTTGATATATAGAATTGTAATCCCATGTAGCAAGGAAGGATATCAGTAAAAGTACAGGATTCAATCTTTGCTATCAGGGCTTATAGTGACCGTGAGAGATAAATACAGCAGAGTCTGTGCAAGTGGGACTCACCAGGGTAGGGCATTCTCCTCCCAGCGGACAAACGTGCCCCCCAGGGTGCTGTCGTTGAGCTTGGAGGTGCAGGGGCTCTTCCAGGGACTAATGCTGGGACAACTGCTGGTAGTCTGCCTGTCTGGGGCTTCTGGAAAACAAACACCAGAGCAGAGTGAATGGTGTTATAGTGCTTCTCTGGAAGGATTTGCAGAGAGGTCTTGAATGGTTAGGAGACTATAGAAGACAAAAACACTAATCACTTGCTTTACACAAGTGAAAATATTAAATATATGTGTTTTTATGGACACCAACACTGATAATGATTAAAAAGCAACGCAGGCAAAATGTTGGTGACAAATACTTATTGTTGAGAGAAACTGTGCACAAGCTCCTACAGGATGATGAGTTAAAGTTGAACTATGAAGTTGGTTTATAAACTATGATGGATGTTATGGAAGGAAATAATTTCCCTGCCCACCAATATTTTCTCTTGAAAATAAATTTGGCTAACCTGGGGATTTGTCAGATCGTCTTAATGCTTGCATTACTTCCTCAGTTGAACTATTAGCAATGTTGCCATGTCCCCAGTTTCAAACAGCTAACAAGATGAGCACAATGTTGTTTATGTTATGAATGATGGCAGTAGTTATCCGGTTATAATTACCAAAAATAATATTTGCCACAATGCAGTAGGTTGACGTGGGTAGTTACAATAAAATCCCATTATTTGACACAAGGAGACATTTCATGTATAAATTCCACTCTGTTTTTTCTGGTTTTGGAGGTGACTTCAAAACACATTAAGAGTTCTATTCATCTTTAAGTGGCACATTTTTCCAGTCCAGCCCACCATTCTTTCTGTTATCCCAGATTAAGAACTTGCTTTCAAGTTTGAGCTTGAGAGGAGAAGAAAATGTAAACAGGTGTACCCATTATTGGGGTATTTTGGTTTCTTTGTTGTGTGGGGCAATGAAGCCCCCTTTCAACTGATTGCATCAGTGTAGCGGTGGATCAAACATGGGAACTCGGCTTTTGTCAGAGGAGAGTCAAGCGTGAGGATTTTGAAAGAGGAACTTTATTAAATTCAAGTGTGGAATTTCCTGTCCTGAATCATTAATGCCCTCACACAAGAAGGCAACTCTGCCGGGCTGGACGCTTTCTGCGAGTTTGGAGAGAGAGCTTTGATGGGCATGATGAGGTGATGATAAAACGGAGGTACTGCGCTGAGATTAAGACTAATCTCTGATCAAACAGAGTCCGTTGTCCGGTGTTTAATCTCTGCAGTAGAAGTTGTGTTCTAATGGTCAGGTTCACACAAGAACCCCCAGTCTGTGAGGCGATAGTGACCAAGGAGTTAACTGCCAATGGGCCTGAAGAGCAAACTGTATCCCCACCACCACAGATATCAAATGATCAGATGATGGATTATTTGCAGTTGCTAGTGACAGATGTTAATTTTGAACAATACTTAAGTGCAAAGCAGAGCAGCAAGAATACACAGAATCAAGTTGTTAGAATTACTCAACAGTGAAAGAGACATTCAGAAAGAAGAAAATCAACATTAGTTGTGGCTTCCCTTGCTCTGAACCGGTGAAGTGGTCAAACTATTTCAAAAGTCTGCAGGCCAAGCACAAGGAGAAGAGGGGTCTCTCAATTAGGATTAAGTACAAAACTCTGTACTTTTACAGTTACAGACTTAAGTACTACAGAGTATAGACCAACACAGTTCACAGTGAGTCAGGGCAACGGTGAGGCGAAAGCAGTCGCACTGTGTTATCAGCACGTCTGCAGCCCACGCTTGAGAAGATAAACCCTGTTTAATGCTTCAAGTAGAACAAGGCCTGGTGGACTAAGAATTGAGGAACCACCCACGAATTACAATTTTGTATCTCTCTCTTGGACGCTTGTTATTTGTAATCTCCTGACTGTATATGCCGGCAGTAAAAGCTTAGAAATTATTACAAAAAACACAAAGCTATTTTCTGTCACTTTTGTGAAAGAGCAGCTACTGTGTACCCAAACAATAAAAAGCAGTGTGTTACCGCCTTCTCTGGTTGACAGTTTCACTGACCACATCAACGGTTGCACACCAAAACCTGACTAGCATGGTGCCAGTCTGCCAGTTTGTGCTGAATAGACATTGTTTCTGCTACAAAAAGATCAGTTCGCAAAGTTGCATGTGCCGGGTGTGTGACCGATGGAGTCCAGACTATATCTGGTGTTTGCCTTTCACACACTAACAATGCAGTGGCAGATTCTTTGCTCTGACGCATTCACAGCAACACAGGAATCTCTGAAGTGTTGAGGTGATGGGTGGCGAAGCAGGCCCACTTTGGAAAAAAAAAGTGTAAATTGGGCATAATAAGCTGAAATGAGGACAGTTAATAAATGAGAGGGACTAATCTGATAGCAAAAAGTCCAAAAAGAAAAAGAGACCACAAGACCAAACATGTGAAAAAATGAGAAATGGCATCACAGAGGAGGAAAACAGAGAAAGCTTTCAAAAGACCAGAGAGAGATCCTGAGGCTGAGGTGAGATCAGGACTGATTCAATATGACACAATGCATGGCAGCCACCGCTTGCCTGCTCTTCATCCCTGCTGAGCCACAGGGAACAATGCGGTGAGCATGAAGTAGCCCAGCTCTGCCCACACTCTCTAGGGAAGACAAAAAAAACAGTAGTGTGTCCAGCGTAGGGAAGCTGATGAGAGGTGGGCCACTCACTCAACAGCACAGGGGAATACCTAGCTAACCTGTAGCCAAGGTCCTTCCCCAAAGAGAAAGGTAGGATGTGAGAGAAAATGTCAGAACTTATTTGTTTATTTTGTGTAAAATCTGTTTCAATTGTAGCATTGTATTTAGATGTTGAAATTGAGATGATGATATTCATTTTTGATTATAATCACAAAAAGTAAAAGAAACAGGAAAAGAAAATCTGACACAAAAGGAAGATCCTTAATTATTGGATGATGCTCAAAATGCAGAGTCACTTCTGTCCTCACCTTTGTTCAGGCTCCTGCGGAACTTGACAGCTCCCAAGTTGACCAGGTTCATGCCGTACAGGTTGTAGTCTATAAAGAACTGCAGCAGGAAGGGGATGTGGCTCTCGTGGGGCTGGTAACTTTTGTTCATCACTGCACCACTCTGCAATAGCTCACACACCCTGCAAAAAACAACGTATATATAGATATATACATACACCCATAATATAATACAACTGATGGACATTTAGAATCTGTGGAGTGCCCCTTTAAATATATGACAATAATCCTATCATTTCGCCTTGTGATGACTGCCTCCACTTTTTTCCAGGACCATCCATGCATTTACAGCGTTTGCTTGATATTTTAAGATGAATGAGGAGCAATTCACTGTGTGAATGTTTAAGGTCTGTCCTCGAGTCATGTCTCCCCTTTTAAGGTCAGAGCACCATCCTGGCTGAGTGCCTGGCAGGCTGACTGGCTGGCTGGCTTTCAGACTGGCTGGCTGCCTGAATGGCTGGCTGGCTTGCTTGCTGGCCGATTGACTGGCTGGCTGACTTTTTTCTTGTCTTCCTCTTATCCTTTCCCAAAAGCTCTACCTTACCCTTTCCTTTTTTCTCCTGAAGCTCAATGTCTTCGCCTCGAGCCTCTTCCTGTATTCTTCCATGCAAATACACCCTCGGTCAATCAATTTGTACAACTGATTATGTAGCAATCGATTTCAGTTTAGTGAGGTGGAGTCATGCACCCACACTCTGGCATTCAGTAAAGTCAAACAGCAGGAGCCTGGAATCATCTCTATTCCCTTAAAATGCATCGATCGGCAGCAGTCTTACCTTTTGACCATCTGAGGATTTAACAGATAGATCTTCATGAAGTGCTTCTCTTTGGCGTGGTAGCCATAGAAAGGCCTGTAACAATACATCCAGACAAGAGACATCATAATACTGCATGTAAACCATCATCATTCATTAAAAGATTTACCCTCATTGTTATTTTATACATTTCTAAATGGTTTTGTACTCATGGGAAAATGTCAGGCAATTCTCTACTTTGTCAGCTCAGTTAATTTGGTGACGACGAGTGACTTACATGCCAGAGACCAGCACCACTTTGAAGACGTGCTGGGCGTTGGAGGCTGGGTTTCCCATGGCAACATTGATGGCCCTGTCGATGCTGAAGGCCACCTGCCGCAGGTAGCGCTCTGGCTGCTGCCCGTAGCCATCGTATGGCACGTAGATGTAAGGGAACACACCATGAATGTGAAGACATGTCTTCTGACCTAAAACAAAAGAACAAATACATTCAATAACAGACTAGGTTTTATCCATTCCATTTATCTTCCCCTCTGATTTGTAGAAATCCTTTCATTTTGCATATATATGGCAGTGTATAACTTATACGGTATATGACTGCTGCAGCTAAAAATCTATATCTGAGTTTTAGTCTAGTACAATTATTCTTTTGTTACTGCAAGTCTATACTTTGTTAGATACAACTTTTAAACTGACTTTTAAATTGATAATTACAAATATAAACTCAGTTGCCATTTTATTAAGTACATCTAGCTGAACAAATCCTTCTTCCCTCCACCATTTATTAAAATTGTTTTAGAGGGTTGCTGATTGAAATGTATGATCATTTATGATGCTGCAGTCTGTGGAGTTGCTGAACAATATAACATTATACAGAAATACTTCCATTATTTAGCCTACCTTCATTGACATAAATAAAGTGGGCAAAATATTACAAACACAGTCCGTGTTAAAGTTGGAGTTCATTTTATCCTGAATATTTACACCAAGATTTACATTTTTACTACAAGTACAGTATATTGGTTCAAAATACATGCAGTACTTAAAGTATTTAGTCCACTGTCCTTGATTACTAATACATATATTGATATTGGCCAAAAGAAATACTTTGCCATGAAAAAATTAATTCCAAGATTGAGAAAATCATGATTTGAGTTTTGAGCATATGGTTGTACAGCTATCGATTAGTACTAAACAATTGAGGTTTGATAACCAGCCCAAGAGGCTTGATCTACTTGATACTTAAAAACTAGAGAACCCATGAGGTAAAATTGCTACCTCTCATAAAAATAAACATAGCATTACATTTCGGGAATAATACATCCCACTGCAAAAGCCACATATAAGATGAGCGTTCATTTTTTATATTTATTAAGAAAGTAAACAAATGAACAGAAATAAACTGAGAAATAAGAAATTACACTCAAATGCAAAAGAGATCAGCAGCCTGGCAGGACCGTATGAATCAACCCACTCTGCTCAAACATTCATTTGCCAGGATGTAGTGACACAGTCCTGAACAAACACTGATGTGCTGTAGCTGCCATTGTAGACTTCTTCTACAGACACTATTAAACCTACTGACAGGCTGCGATTGAGATGGATGGAGTGTTCCGAAGGTTGAGCAAACAGCTTTTTCCACCAGTAAGTTTTTTTGTCCAATCACTGTGAGGCAGCACAGATGGATGAGTGCGACAAAAGCCTGTAACTCGATGATTAATGACATATATGCAGAGTATTATAGCAGTCAATAAGCTAAATAACTACATAGAAACATAGTGGAAGAGCATGGCTGTGGACTGTGGGTGGAACAGAGTGGATTGAGGACTTGAATGATGTGAAGTGAGGTCAGCCAGTAGAAGAGAGAGGGAGATACAGTATTTATAATAGGGTCGGTGTGACATCATCACTGCCAGACAGACACGCACACTGCTGAAGAGTCATCTGAGGTGAACTGTGCTGCAGACACCACGCTATGATTCATTCCCTTTATACCATTATCAGCATGGGCCAGAGCTTGTATCTATACGATGCTGCAGGGGCCTGTGTGGTGTTTAGTTGTGTTATATAAAGGGATAATAAGAGCACTGTAAAAATAACGACAACAAAGGCAAGGGGTGCTGGGGCTTGCCCAAATCCAAACTATTCACTCTGCTCTCTTCTTGCACCAGTGACAGGCTGACAGACAGCTGGACAGGAGGAGGCAGTGTTGAGCAGGAGCTCCACTCTTGCCCAGAATTGCCTGCACATGCCCAGAGACATGCCTGCTTTCCTTACCATCAATGTGCTTCAGGAGAGGAACGAGAAGGAGGGTTTCTGGCACTGCTCCTCCAGCTCAAACACACATACACGAGCAGCTTGCCAATTGTCTATTGTCATGCTATGGCGTGACAGATGCTCCGTGCAACGCAATGCCGCAGTGCCATGGGCATGATTGCTGAGATTGCTGGATCCAAAGTGGAGGCTCCAAAAGCTAAATGTTCTTTGCATCTCTCCGCACAATAATACATATGACTGCCTCCAAACAGAGGGGGAGGGCGGTGCAAGATGGAAGGTGGTGATGAAAGACAATGAGCTGGTGTGAGCCTGAATCTCAAAGATACTGCGCTGCTTCGACTGAGGGAGCGGCATATGTTAAAGCTCACAGGCAGGGATCCCTGTGGCAGGCAGCGTGTGAGGGAGACACACAGCATCAGCAAATATCTACTTGTCTTTATGCTTTTGGAAGAGAAATATTGTTTATTTGCATTCCATTCTCAACTAAATGAAGGTGGCACCATGAAATGAAAGTCAACTGTCTAATATCTATGAAGTCCACTATACACTGGTGGCCTAAGGCGTTACATTGCTGTGAACCCAGATGACAAATCCAAAGAGAAAATAAGATGGCGACATGTCAGATAACAGCCATTTATCAGGTAAAAAAGGTCAAACATTTACTAGTTCCAGCCTTTCCATTGTGAGGATTACCTGCTGTTCACATTTTTATATCATATAGTCAAATTAATCTTTATTGTCCAGACACAATAACTAATTCAAGAAGTCACATTGGTCTCTAGAAAATTAGGACTGATTGATTGTTGTTTTCTGAAATAATAATCCTGATAGTCCATCAGAACAGATATTCTGCCCCCATTTTGGATGCAACATACCAATTGTATATCTCAACATCAGTCATGATATGAATTAAATTAACTATCACACTCTTTGTATCTCATTTTGTGCTGATATACATATAAAAGCTGCAGTGAATAGTTCATTAGTTGAAATTAGTCAACAACTAAAAATCTATTAACAGTGACCATCAGTTGTGATAACTTTTGACAGTTTGTCCTCGTGGCAACATTATTGGGAATAGAAGATCTCTGGCTTTTCTCCTGTAGCTTGGATAAATGATCAGGGACTGAACAGTTGAGGAGGCCTACAACTAACGATTATTGCCAATAACATTAGTGTTTCTCATCCGCAGGGTGTATTTGTTTGTCTTCCACTGAACAAGGCCAAGGTGTCTGTATCCACTGCGAGACACACTAAGGCTGGCAGCTACTCCAGCATTTAGGGAGCAGCAAGGAGGACATTTTTGTGTCCGTCCCCAGCCTTTTATGTCAACATGGACTTTTTTTCTGTCACAGGCACACTCCAACGTACACTGTGAACAGCCTATGCTGGCTTCAGTTGCAGTTGCTAGGCAACAGTGCCGGCAAAGCAAAAGCCCATGATGGGTGGGGTGGGGTGGGGGCTAAACAAGTGATTCTTTCCACCCTGCTGGTCAGGCCACAGAAAGATAGAGAGGGAGAAAATGTGTTTGTGCAAAGTAACTCAAAAACACATAGATGTCTGATCATTCAAAGGTCAAGGTCAAAATAAACAAAAATATGGTCTGAAATTTCCATCTCCCAAAATGTTTCTGCATATATACTTAAATTCATCAGAAAATGATTCCCCATCATACACTGTAAATTGTCATATGACATCATGAAGGCGTCACAGAGACGATTATGTCATGCATAGCTAAAAAACAAGGAATTTTCAAGGTGCATTTGCATCCTAAAAAGACACGGCTTTAAGATTATATAGAGAAAAAAGAATTAACAATAGCGCATTAAGAGTGGCATCTGTCAGAACATATATATAATAATATAGTTTGTTATATGATATGTTCAACCAAAATCTATGTGAAACCAATAACATCAGAGAACAAATCAACCAATCACTGTCATCATATGATATAAATTATATCATGACAATGAATTATGAAAAGGTATTATTACAATATAAATCAGGATGCTTCATGTCTTTGGTAAATATGTATTTACTCAGCTCCATACAGGAAGGGATCTTTTTTTTAATTCCTCTGTAATGTGTGAAAAAACTTGTGACAGGGCCCAAGGTGTCAAATTACCTGATTTGTCTGGAACAACAGTCCAAACATATTCAACTTACAATGTTGATCAAAAGGGAAAAGCACTGCATCCTGACATTTGAGAAGGTGGACCAGCAAAAGCTTGACTTAAATATTAAATGATGATTATTAAGTTTCACTGAAGCTTTTCTGCAGAGTGTGTACGAGATGAGGACTGTTTTTCCCACTGTTCCTCAGCCACATGTGCAGTTTCCTGCTGGAGGATTTGTGAATGGGGGAAGGAGGGGCTATTCCAGCCTCAGGGACTTATCTCTGATGGGAGGAGCACTGAGGCGGAGGAGGTCCACTCTGCCAAGTGCCTTCCTCTGTCTCTCTTCCTCCCACCCCCACTTCCTGATGGCAATCAGCACCACAACTCCATGACTCGGCAGCCATTGCAGGGAGAGCCCTATTCCACCACTGGGTCAGAAAGGCAGTCAGCCTTAAGCTTAGCAAGAAAAGCAGTCATTTTGCTAAGCAGACAGCTGTTAACCTGGTGCTGCTAAAAATACTGGGCCGTAGAGAGAAAACCTGAGATCTATGTTATCAGATAAAAGCTGCAGTGTACAGAACATACAATATCAACAGATAGAGTTTGCACAAAAAAATGCATATAAGAAATGCGAAAATGCAGAATGAAATTATACCAAACAAATGCCAATATGTTGAGGAAATTGCATCTTAATTGTTGCAATGAAATACATGGTCTGCAGTATTAACTGCATGTATACAACATACCGTCAAAGATGTACATTACAAAGCATCATTAGAACATTTACTAACAACTGATTAACCTAAAGAGTCATTTATTAAAGGTGCAGTGTGTAGAATTTTGTGATATCTAGTGTTGAAATTGCATGTTGCAGCTGAACACCCCTCACCTCACCCTCCCCTTCAAAACATAAAAGGAAACTGTGGTAGCCTTTAATTGTCATAAAAACTCAAAAGGTGTTCAGTTTGTCCAGTCTGAAATGATGTAAAAAACATGGCAGCCCCCGTAAAGAGGGTCCCCTCGATGTTAATATAAAGTATTTTAATATAAAGGGCTTTTTCTGGTGTAAAGAA